AAGTCCCTCCAGTTGAATGTATATGATTTATACTGATATTAATTTATTGACGATACGAAGCAAACCAAACTAACGCATATCTCACTAACGGAATAATAAATACAGGTTCCTTACATTTTTAATAAATGATATCAGAAGCTATTTTAAACAGAATGTTGAGTCTATAGATTTTCTTCTATTCTGTTCTGTACAATTTTTATACTACGAAATATTTTCTGAGAATTTCTGGCTTAAATTTCACCAATGGTGGCGTTATGTGGATACAAATAATTTTCATCATCATTACTGTCATCATTTTCATTGATGGCCACACTTGGTCTATTCCAGGCATGTCCAACTTCAAACAGGTTGTGATCGACTTTTTAGTGTCAAAACTGCCAGTGATCTACCATCCCCTCCTATCGTCGCACCTTGCTTTAAGCAAAACCATTGGTAAAAATAAGAGTTCACGTGATAAGGATAGATTAGGGATTTCCCCGCAGTTCAATTAACACGAGTGTAAAGTAATTTTCACGTAAGCTACATAAGAATAGAAAAATAGGAATGACTAATACGTATTTACCCTTCAAAATCTGAATATAATCATATTATATTAAAAGTGAATTTACATGCTTTTCACGTATAATTTCCTTATAGGCCTATGAGATCGACCAAAAATCGTCCCGCGATCGACGCTTTGGACATGTCTGGTCTATTCCGTCCTCTTGAAGAGTATGCTCGTCCCTCTATATTAAGTTTGGGCACTCTGTGTTGCGTTTCCTTTTTGTTTCCTTTTTTTCAGTGGCTCTTCCAGGCCATTCAGAGCCCAGGTCTCTTATTCAGCTCCGTAATCATTTTTCTCAGACGGTAGGACGCTTTGGATTGGTGATTAGCTCGTCGCAAGGCCGCTACCTAAATACAGGACAGCACAAACACAGAACAAACGCATACAAACACCAAACATTCATGCTTTAAATGGGTTTCGAACTCACGATCCCAGTGTTCGAGCGGGCGAAGACAGTTCATGCATTAGACAGTACGACCATTGTGACCGGCTTTCTTTTTGGATTGCACCAATACAAATAAGAACAGAAAATAAATTCTTTCTACGAAGTTTAGTACAGACATCATTGCTAAAATTATCTAAAAATGCATCAACTTCTTTCGAAGAGGAAACAAGTGGATGGACAGAAAGACGGATGGACGGATGGACGTATACAACATCCGTATCATAACTTCAATTAAATATTATTTGTACATTGAAGCATAAAAATTTTTCTGGTTGCAAAAATAACATAAAACAATTTAACGGTGGAGTAGATGAAATATAAAGTAACAGGTTTAACAGCTAAGGTATAACTTGAACGCAAATCCAGAAACTCTGACATCCTCATAGAAGAAGGAGGAAAAAGGAATAATTTAAAATTACTAGCTAAAAATATTCACGCCTTTGCGAGGAGAAAGTGACAGACGCTAAGCGAAACATGACAAAAGCGGAAATGAAACGACAAGGATAGAGTGACCAGTCTCTCAAATTTGACAAACGTTGATTCATGACTTACATAAAACATTCGGACTTAAATTGAAGAGGCTGACTGAAGCTTTGAAAACACGAGGAAATAATGGGATGAAGTAGAAAAATGTCGTGGGTTTTACAGCAGAAAGAGATAAGCAAGTGTGACTAGAAAAATGCGAATGAATTAATGTTTTTATCTCACAAAGAAGTAAATTACTTATTTTAGAAATGACGGTCTATATGTCACTGGATTTTATAAGAAACTGAAATAACACAACAAAGTCAGAAATGAAGGTTCAATAATATACCTAAAGAAACAGAAAATAATATAACAAAGAATGAAGGGGACAAGGAGAATTATTTTAAATGAAAAAAAATATTTATTATACTTCCAGCAAAATATATAGGCTAATATTCTTTCCGTCAAGGAAAGTACGAAAAGAGAAAACAACAAAGAAAAAAATATTGGAGGAAGAAACAATTTGTAAGCTAGACCACTAGGAGGTGGTAAGAAGAATGAAGAGGAATACAAATTTTAGAGACACTAATCAGAAGAAGGAAGGGCGGATGCAAGCAGAAAATGGAGTTAAAAATGGCGGGCTAAAGTAAGTGTATCTCAGGGACAATTTGAAGCTTTAAATTTGAAAGAGATAAACTATTTTACAGAAATCAAATCTTACGGAACTATAATGAAAAGTAGTAAAGAAGTCGTAACGTGATCTATCGGACTAAAGTGTAGAAAGAGAGAGCATAACAGGAAAATGACTTGTTGCAGAAAGAAGGATGGAAACATAGACCCAGTTGATACCTTAAAAAAGGAAAAACCTGAGCGTACAACTGTTTAAGAACGCTAAACGAACATTGTGGGGTTTATTGAATTATCCTACACAAATAATGTTGCGTTGGAAGCTTGAAATAGACAGCAACCAGATTCGGTTAGAACAGAAAATATCAATGCCACGAGAAGATGAATAGACGGATATTAATGACTAAGTTCCCATTTCGCTGGTACAGGATAATATTTGAGAAGTTGATAGCTGTTCAGCTGGCCCGTAAATTAACTGTTTTATATGATACAAAATGATTCATTACCGTATTTACCAGAGTCTCATATTGAACTCTGCTTTGTGTAGGTGTATCATGTTCATAAAATCACGTGCTATTTCTGTCATATCTATTGCAACATTATTCTAACATTTATGCTAATCTATTCCGAGTAATCTCTTTCTTTCCTAGTTTTCGTCAGCCCGGTCGAAGGGCGTCCTACAAAGCGGGACATCACAAAAACATAGAATGTTTACATTCAACCACAAGAGAATTTTAAATATATCATTTTAAATTTAAGTTACAATTTCTGGAAGATTTAAAAGTAGAATAACCCTTGTAACTTCCTGATGGATGCATAAATCATATGATTGTGATAAGTAGTACTTATACGAGTATGGATCCACATTGGGCCAGTTCAATTAAGCTGAAATTATTTAATGATACTGCCTGAAGATGGTTCCATATGCGGACCGAAACATGTAGCAACGATTAAATAAAACAAACACTTCTATTGGTTTCACTCTTTATTTATTGCTGTCTTGACGGCCAAATACAAAAAACGCTTTTGCATAATTCCTAACTCCGATGCGCAGTGTGTGTTGTGCTCGTAACCTTCCTAGCAGTGAACCTGCCATTTAAATACTCTCACTCATGGAGCTGAGCCCTTCTTGAGAGCTGCCAATTGTGCAGCTACTAAAGAACTTCCCAGCATTTTATGGAACCCGAAGATTCATTGCCGCTTTCACAAGAGACCTCCACCGATCCCTATCCTGAGCCAGATCAATCCATTCCATCCTCTCCCTCTAAAGGCGCGTCCACATTACTCGTGTACGTGCTCGTGTGACTCGCTATGCTCACGAGTAATGTGGACGATATGACAAGTCATGAGACAAGCAAATTCTAAATTTTTTATTTAAAAACTATAGCCAATAAATTAAAATATGACTACAGCCTATACACACTATGAGTAAATATACGGATCCTCACCCGCCGAAGCCTGGCGAGCAACTGGAGTGTGGACGAAGATTTACGAGCACAAGTAAAAGCCAGACGGGTCTCCCGACGAGCACAAGCCTGGCGAGCACGAGTAATGTGGACGCGCCTTAAGATCCATTTTAGTATTGTCCACCCACATATGTCTTGATATTCCCAGTTACCTCTATCCTTCCGGCTTTCCCACCAATATCCTATATGCATTCCTCCTCTCCCCAATTCGTGCTACATGTCCTTCCCATCTCATCCCCATAGACATGATCATTCAAATTATACTTGAAGTTACGTGTTACGAAGCTCCTCATTATGCAGTTTTCTCCACCCTCCCTTAACTTCATATCTCTTCGGTCTAAATATTCTCAACACCCTGTTCTCAAACACCCTCAGTCTATGTTCCTCCCTTAATGTCAGAGACCAAGTTTCACACCCATGCAGAAGCACAGGCAAAATTATATTTATGTATAATCTAATCTTTATGGGCTTTAAATATATTATTAAAAATGTCAGAATATTTCAGAAGGGAGAAGAGAACCAGCGAATCGTCCTCAGTGCTGGCTTGGAATTGTGAATTTATAAATATTTTCGGTTAAATGTGCTGGATATATCACTTACAAGGGGACCGAAGCATATAGCATTCATCACAAAGACCACGCTATTCTATTTTATAATTTAATAAAAGGCATGAATTAATATATGCCACTCAAAATAAGGAGTGATATTAATTTATTTAATTTTTTATCTCTTTACTGTAGCTTATTCAATGAAGCTGCCTCTGGTATAGTAGTCAGAGTTCCTGACTGCAGATCCAGAGCCCCGGTTTCGATTCCCGGTGCTACCAGATTTTCTGAGAAGTAGTGGGTCTGGAACTATATCCACTCAGCATCATGAGGATAACTGAGGAGCTACTTGAATGGAAAAGTAGCGGCTCCTGACAAGAAAACCGATATTAACGGTCGTGGGGGTTCGTTGCGCCGACCACGAGACGCCCTCTATCCGCTAAAGTTGGCACTAATTTCGCCGGCAAGCAGCGGTCGCTCGGGCGGTATAGTTCGCTTGCGGACTAAAGCCGGGGAGTTTGTTTTTGTTTTTGTCAGTAATACAGAATATATAGCGTCGTGGCCTGACTTCAGCAGCTCTGCCGGAGCTGAAATTGGTTTAGAAATGATAATACAATTTTGTCGTTGACTGAGGAAAACTACAAAAAAGCCAACTGAGGTTATACAATGGTCCACTCGATGGGACATAAGCATGAATACGTCTGTTTTTACGGTGAGATGTTTCTTAAGGAACACAAATTCTGTGCATGAGTTGAAAATATTTTCTTTCTGCGGCTTGTTGCACATTCTTATGGCAAAACTGAACGATCGTTGTTCAAGCAGTTCCTTCCGTGCGGTACAAAATGTGGATATGAGAATAGACATGTTGAGAAAACCTCACTGAAAAGAAGCAAATAACTGCAAGTTACCTAGTAATGTAGAGAAGCCGGGATAGCTCAATCGGTATATCGTCTTGCTACGGGCCGGGCGACCGAGGCATCGGAGTTCTTGTCCCTGTAAAATGAAAAATGTTCTCATCTCCTCGCCGTCCAGACCGGCTCTGGGGTCCATCCAGCCTCCTAATCAATGGGTAGCTGGGGCTATTTCACAGGGGATAAATCCGCCGGGGCATGAATCTAACCACTCACCTCCAGCTAGTGTTGAGGTCAAGAAAAAATGGATCTACACATCCACTCCCCCATACACTTTCAAGGAGTAATGCTTAATTAGTTAAGCATACGCACAATTTTACCTTACCTAGTAACGCAAGGATTCTTCTGGGTCGCAAAAAAACTTGTGACCCAGGCTGTTGTCTCTTCTTCAGTTTAAGTTATGGATGCTTGTAACTTGGGCTGTGTATATGTCAAGGACACAAAACGCATATCTTCGCTTCGGTCACTTTATTCCTACGTTGTGAAGCGAAGGCCGTAATAAAAGGAAATCGTGAGGAGCAGTAATGAGGCTATTAAGTCCTGCTTAACAAAGGGTTTCTCGTATCACACCGTAATGCCCGAGACACGTATTGTCTTGTTCCACTTCAACAACAGGATTGCAGGTTCAAGTATCCCTATAGGTATAACTATATATCTGCGTTTTTTGTTTTGGTTTGATCTACGAGTGTATATGGGTATTCTCCGATATCCCAACCGAAGGAGTCTTACTGAGTTCATGGAAATACAATTTTCTAAAGATAACCATAAATAGAACCCAGCCAATCTGTGTCAATTTATGAAGAATTCTGTCACAATGAATTTCATTTATCTCATATAGACCTATGGTCTTTCATTTGCAACGTTACCGTAATTTTTAAACGTCTTCTTATTGCTAGTACGGTGGGACTAGGTCCCTTCTACTGCGGACACTTCTGGCCTATTGTACCAGCCCCAGATGATAGGTGAGGGTGATTGTTGAGCAATTGGTGGAATGAAGATTGGCAAGGGAAACCGAAGTACTAGGAGAAAATCTGTTCCAGCGGCACTTTGTCCACTACAAATCCCACTTGACCAGACCCAGGATCGAACCCGGGCCGCCGCGGTGGGAAGCCAGCGGCTAACCGCTTGAGCTAGGGCGCGGCCATTTTTAAAAGTTATTTTGTTTACTAATGTAATAAAAACTTACACATGTACAAATTTGTTGCGATGTTATGTAGATCAGAAACGGCCAGCTGTGCAAATTCCACGAGTATGGAATTGCTTATCTGTATAACATCCATATTGTGTTTGGTGTACACACGAAACTAATTAAGCTTATTAAATTGTGTTTAACTGAAAAGCATAATAAAGTCCGTACTGGTAAACATTTTTCTTATCCTTATTCTATTCAAAGTGTTTTGAAACAAGGAGATTGTTTACCGCCATTGCGTTCCAACTTTGCCTTGGAAAACGTCATTAGGAAGGTCGAAAAATACTGGCGGGGGTTGGAAATGAATGGGGTATATTAGCTTCCGGTCTGTGCTGATGATGCAAATTTAGTTGGAGAGAAAACACAGGAGTTGTCAAAGTAGCTAATAATAAATCTGGTCTAGAAGTGAGTATATTGTGGCATGTAGATCCGTTGCTAAGCAATGACAGCAAAAGAAGCAGCTATACAAATGCCATTGTTAAGTAAGGGCTTCGCAAGAAGCACGTTACCACGGCGAAAATTGTACAACAATACTGTAACGGTGTTTTCTGTTCGGCCCGTGACATGACATTATAAGAAGGGCAAATCACTTGAGCTGAGTTAAGTTAGTTGTTTGAAGAGTGACTGAGCTAACTAGTCAGTAAGTTAGAGAAGAGCTAAGGTTCAGTTGTGAGCTGTTGCTGTGAGAATCTGATAGCTGAGGCTAGGGATAGTTCTGGAACCCAGAGGAAGAGAAATATCCGCTGTTGAAAGCCGCTACCAAGCAACGGCTAGTGGAGAAATGACTGCTTATACTAGTGTGTTTAATAGTGAAATGTAAATAAATTCGATCATCAATCCAAATCCGTCTACAGTCATTCCATTCACCTGAAAATATACTCGTAGTTATGTCTCGTCACCAGAATGTATGACAAGATCGTAAAACAAATACGGGTATTAGATAACAAGAACAAAAGAACATACTCCGTTGTTTTACTCCTTAAGCGAACTATGCCGACCTAACGACCGCCGCATGTCGGCGAAGTCAGTGTCAACTTCAGCGGATAGAGGGCGTCGCGTGGTCAGCGCAACGAATCCCAACGGCCGTTAATTTCGGTTTTCTAGACCGGTAGATAATGTGAACGCGTGGCAAAATTAAAATATTTGGAAACGGCCGTGACAAATCAAAATTGGATTCATGAGGAAATTAAGAGCAGATTGCATTAAAGAATGCTTGCTAACATTCAGTTCTTCCCCTCCACTGCTCAAAAGCGTAAGTACTGAAGTGTACTAAATCATAACATTGCCCATAATTATTTATGGATATGAAACTTGGTCTCTGATCTTAAGGGAAGAGCATACGCTGAGGGTGTTTGAGAACAGAGTGCTAAGGAGATTATTTGAACCCAAGGGAGTCAAATAGTAGGATATCAGAGAGAAATATATAATGAGGTGCTTCATAAACTGTACTTACCAAATATAATAAGAATGATCAAGTCAGGGGGGAAAGAGGGGAAAAAATGCATACAAAATTTTGGTGGGAAAATCAGAAGGAAGGAAACCACTAGGACGATCTGGACATATATGGAATAATAATAGTAAAACAGATTTCAGAGAAATAACTTAGCAGGATATGGGCTGGATTCATATGGCTCTCAAGAGAGACCAACGACGCGCTCCTGTTAACATGGTAATGAGCCTTCGGGTTCCATAACCTGTTTGGAAATTTTGAGTAGCTGAGCGTCTAGTGGATTCCAAAGAAATATTCTCCCCCTTGGAGTTAATTATTTGGTAACTTTAATAATTAGTTTGTTAGCTCGTTAGTCAGTCAAGATCATAAGGCACGAGTATTTGCATTCAAGGTTCAATCAAATGGTCTCCTAACAGGATAGTGTTGCAATCAACAGTCTGAGGTCGAGTGTGAGCCAGTTTTTACTGTCAGAAAAGGGCTTCGAATGTGGTCAGATTCTTCGGCAAGAAATCGGTCTAAATATTGTGAAAAATACAAGAGGACTGGAAGTGCAGACATCAGATAGCTTTACAGGCGTAAGCGTTGAAATCGACATCAAGAGAACTGAGTGACGTATATGCTGGCTTTAGTGGTCATACCAAACACTATAAGGAAAATGGAGTTTAATTTCATATTCGGTTGTCAGGTTTTTTCTTTCAGTTGAATTCAATACTAGAGGAAGTTGTCTGTTAGTATATAACAAGATAAGATCAGCGAACGAAAGAGTGAAGTTTGTAAAACTTAGCGCGCGACAATTATACTAATGGGTTTATATACCTTGTAATTATTGTACACGCGCTTCCTAACTGAAGACAAGCTGATGGCAGGAAGGATAATTGCTGTATTATCTCTGAGATATAATTGATATACACGACGTTTCGACAGTTAATTCAGCTCTTTAAGTGATACACGCTTTTTTCCTTCTTTATGTATTATCAGAGACTGTGTTCGATATTGAACTCAGAAGAGTCTGCGCTGTACGTTACTATATTAACCTTTAATCGCCGTGGCGAAAAAAGACTGACATCTCTATAACTGTACTTAACTACTCATGCGACGGTTTCGCGTCTTTGCAGTACAGGGAGTTCTTGTTTTCTTCTTTGTGCATGATCTTGGCTGTACCTCACTGTAGTGTGTTTCTCATTTCACGCGTCTTTTACTGTTTCGAATTTCGACTTTTCACTCTTGATTTTATTCTCGAAAAAGTCTTCCAGCATCTCACATATATTTCCTCCCTATTCACATGGAATGCTGTAGGTACATATACAGTTTCCTGTTTCCTAAGTCTTATTTTCGACCTATTTTTCTTAATACAATATTTTAGGCCTATAATATCTCTTTGCTCCTTATGTCTGCCTCTTTGTCTCTCATTTCAACATTTTAATCAGTTTACCGAGCTCAACAAAATTTGTTTTTAATTTTCATCATTGAAGAATTCCAGGCTAACCTAAAAAGTTTTAATTTACAGTAATCTGTAATATCGACAAGGCGCAATTCTGGTTTTTTCAAAATGAGATTGATAATAACGACATTTAATTTATTGTTATGAAATTACGTGTAGTTATAATAAATCTTAGAAAAATGCTTAATTTTCTTAACCTGATTTTCTCCTAGAATATGAAACACTTAAATATTGTCTGCACAAAATCTGTATTTATATTTTAATTTGATGCCTGTAACTAATAAATGAGTGGAAGAAGCAATATGAAATGTGGTAAGGAGAAAAGTATATACTTACATAAAATCCTGTATATTTATCAGTCATCTGTTCTAAGTGTGTAGATGATATGAAATTTTAAAATGATTTCAACCAAATTCAACTAAGATAAAACTTACTTAAACATAAACTTATAGAGGAAAGAAAATAATAATCAAATAATTAATTAATTAAATTTATTTAAGTTCTTAAGATTGAAGCACTGGAAGTATACTCGTACATAACAAAAGGCGCTAAGGCTAGAGCTAGAACTAGAAATGGACTAATGTAATACTAGATAATAAAATAATACAGGTAACACAAATGTGATGTAACTCAGTAGGATTAAGCAAAGGAAAATGTATCCTCGAGACAGGTGTGAAGTTTATTGGAAACTCTCAGTTATTTGCACGTGTTGCTTGCAGTAGTGACGCATATTGCTTAAGGGGTGACACTTGAGACATTTCTGACGTTAAAGTTAGAAAAGTCTCCAATTTGCTTAGTGGGTACACGGAGACAAACAATATCCATAATAGGACAACAGCCAATTTTGTTCTTAAAAACGATAATAAGAAATAAAACTTAAAGATTTTGTCACCTAGAACAAAGCGTTTTAAAATGTAAATTATTCAACATGGATTCATAATAACAAAAAGAGTAAATTGAGTATAACATAAAATTGTAAACTTTCTTTGTATGTCTTCCAGC